GCCAATGTCACCTCTCACAACCCTTTGTACCTGTCACACTCCATGGTTCATAGAGGAACTGATGGTTCTGAAATGAGTTAAGAGACGTCTAGAGTGCCACTGGAGGAAAAGAGGATAACTCTGTCTTAGAGTTGCTATTATAAGGCCTATTTGGGGCAATAAAAGATTGAAACAAAATTATTTCTCCATTCTTATTGAATCTGCAGTGTATCACCCATCAATATTGTTTCAGATTACTTAATTCCTCCTAGGCTTGGGGTGCTCAGGCAATCATCTTCAGGGCCATGCAGAACAATTTGTTGAACACCTATTGGATAAAAGTGCTTGAATACATTCCCAGTTAGAGGTAAAATCCCTTGCATAGTGCTATTCCTTATGAGAAGCCTATAGAGTAATCTTGCCCAGTAATTTGGGAACAGTTTGATCCTGTTGGACCTAAGAAAGTGGACAGGACCTTCTATATTGTTAATGTAACAATCTGTTAATTAGACTCTTGCCCCTCCTGGAGGTTGAAAGCCTCCAGAATGGTGGCCATCAGGTAGGTTCTTGCAGTGATAAATTCTTGAGAGCAAGAGGGGACATTCCCAAGACTTTTAAGGAGGCCCTGGTTTGTCCACTCCTTAAAAATCATCACTTCACCCCACCTGCCTGAACAACTTTTGTGCTGTTTCCCATTTTCCCTTTTTACAAAAAGTGGTGGAAAAGGTAGTTCCTTGGCAGCTCCAAGGGTCAGGATGAAACAAATTTCCTGGACCCTTTTCAGGATTCAGATCCAACAGAGATAGCGTTGGCCACACTCATGGACAATCTTGGGGCGGAGCGAGATAAGGATAGTGCTACCTGTCAGCCTCTGCTTTGCTGCTGCTTCGGCTGNGCAGCCCTTCAGAAGGGCGTCCATCTGCCACCACCTGAGAGAGTGGAGTACCTTCGGAGGGAGGCGAACCACCCTTCTGGAGCTGCTGGCCTTGCATCTCTGGAGCGGGAGCAAGAACCACTGGAGCTCTCGCGTGTGCAGTCGTGCCCACAGAACCACCGAAATACACCACACCAGTTTCCCCAGCAGCTGGAAGAGGGAGACGACCAACGCTGACCCAGTGGAGCGGATGGTCCTCACCAGAGATCTGATGCTGTCCACTCTCTCCTGCATGAGGAAGACTTTGCAGTTCCAGGAGTTGATCACCGTGACGAGATGTCAAATTCTGCGGGTCGGGGTCAGATGGCTCTTGGTGAGGTTGACCAAGAATCTGTGGTGTTGCAGGACTCAGATAGTGGTGTCCAGGTCTCTCTGGGCCTGCCCCCTGGACGACGAGTGGATGAGAATGTCGTCCAGGTAGTATTCCAGTCTCACTGGGAGAGATCGGAGATGTGCAGCGATGGCGGCTAGTAGTTTGGTGAAGGTTCGCGGGGCTGACGAAAGCCTGAAGGGAAGGGCTCTCTATTGGAAGTGGTGATTGGCGAACTGGAACCTCAGGAACTTGCGATGTGCTGGATGGATCGGAACATGCAGGTACGCCTCCTTCATGTTGATCGAGGTGAGAAGATCGCCCTGCCTGACACAGCCCAGAATGGTCTGAAAGGACTGCATCTTGAAGCACTTGTACACCAGATGCTTGTTGAGTTTCTTGAGGTCCAGTATCGCCCTCACCCCCTGCCCCCGATGACTTGGAGACCAGGAACAGGATGGAATAGAACCCTTCGCCCTCCTGGCCCCTGGGAACCTCCTCTATGGCCGCTATCTCTAACAGGTGATCTATCTCTGCCCTCATGAGCTGGAGCTTGTGGCCAGATCTGGGGATGGGACAACAAACAAAGGTCCTCGGGGGAAAGGACAGGAACTCCAAGGTCAACCCATGATGGACCGTATTCAGAATCCAAGTGTCCGTCGTGGTCTCCTCCCATTGTGCGGCATAAAGTTGGAGTCGGACGCCTATGGGAGGTCCTGGTGATGGTCACTTTGGCTTCCGAAAGGAATGGTTGGAGTAACCCCCTCGGAATTGTCTACGATTGCCCTGTTGCCTGTTCTTATCCCTATAGGAAGATTTGTCCTGGGGACGATCTTGGGGCTGGACGTAAGGCCGACTGGCTCCCCCAGAGGAGGTGGAGGGTTCTGAACTCCGAAAGGAATTCCTGAAAAAGGGCTGACCCCTACAGTCCTGCTTCTTAGTGATCGCATGAAGGATTTTATGTTTATCCTTGGACTCGATTAGAAAGGGGTCCAAGGCCTCCCCAAACAGCTTCCACCCCTTGAAGGGGGCAAAAGCCAGCTTCCACTTTGCCTTCATGTCTGCTTGCCAGTGGCGCAGCCACAGCAGACATCGCGAGGTGACATTAGAGGCAAGGGCTCTGGAAGAGAATTTCGTGGCCGTGATAGAGGCATCAACAGAGTACTCAATGGCCGCTATGATCTTGTTTACATCCTGTCTGGCCCTAGTATCCCATGCTAGAAGGCCTGACAGCAATTTGCGGAGCCAAAACAAAGCTGCCCTGCTAAAGTAGGAAGAGGACGAAGAAGCCCTCATGGCCCAAGCAGTGGCCAGGTGGGTCTTGTGGGAAGCTGACTCTGCCCTCTTGTCCACAGCTTTCAAACCTTCTAGCAAATCAGCTGGAAGAGAAGAAGTGAGAGACACAATGGGGTCATCCACCTGGGAAAGCTTCAACAGCTCCTCCAGAGGGCCCTTCATGGTATATAGCTTCCTATCCGTCCCACTAGGGTTGGCCATGGATCCCGATTGGGTCCATTGCCGCTGTATGATGTCCAGGAACAGCTGTGGGGCTGGAACCAGGTCCAAGGGTGGAGGAACCTCCTTAAATAAACCTGCGCCTGGGTCCTGGGGGCCTATGGGGGCTTATCTATCGGGGCTGGAAGACCCATTTGGGGCCCCGCCGCCTGAGCCTTGGTGAGAATAGCCCTGAACATAGAAGGCTTGAAGAGACAGGAACTTGCAGCCTGTTCAGGGGTGGGGTTCTCATTATCAGAGAGATCCAGAGCATCCTGCTCTGCCTCCTCCATATCTGACACTTCACTGATTCCAGTGGGAGTTGGCAAAGCCTCCCTAGTTGGGGGCATCTGTGGTCTAACTGAACAACTCTTGCTGGGATTAGTAGTGACAATGGACAGTTTAGATGCCAATTGCTGCCTGCCATCAGAGATGCCCCGTGATATAGCACGAGCTACAACCTCCTCCATAGTCTTAGACAGATGGGTCTCCTGGCTCAGAGGAGGGGAAGGCCCTAAAACAGAAGGGGCCAGGGATTCCTCCTCAGCCATGAATCTATATCAGCAAGGGAATCCTCAGCCAGGGAGTGGCTGGAAGATCCTAGCAAAGCCCTGGATGGATTAGGGGAAAAACCAAAATCCTCCTCAACTGGCAAGGCAGGGGATTCCTCTTGGTGGGCGGGAGGGGGGTGGAAGGACCAACTCCCTTATCACCGGGAGTGGGGCCTACTAGCTGTTGATGCTATGCAGCCTAGGCCTTCTGAAACTGTTTTTCCAGGGCCTTCTGGCTTCTCACAACCATTCTTTCATCAGCTTTAGAGGCCTTCCTAGCCCTGAGGTGTTTCCCTTTGGATGGACACCCCACCCCATTACCTTTGGCAGCAGGGTTGAGCCTGCTGTGCTTACTGTCAGTGGGTCCTGCCTGAGCGTCCACTTGCTTCTCCATGGAGTTGCTGAAGCTCGCCTGTAAAGGCCTCAGGGTCGAAGAGGGCCTGAGGCAAAGTTAGGGCCTCCGGAAGTAATGGGCCCAGGAGCTCTTGCAAGTGGAGGCTGGAATTTGGCACCGGCTGAGAGAGAGGCCAGGCGCCTGTAGATCTGCGCCTAGGAGCAGAGTAGAATGGCCCGGTAGGCCAAGGGTCCCTGCAGCCGCTTGGAGAAAAACTCCCAAGGGAAAAGAGCCTGCCTGGCCACCCAGAGAGAGACCCGAGCTTAGGGCAACCCTCCGTGGCGACCTGCTGGTCTGGGCAGGCTGCGCAGCAACTTTTAGGAGGCCAGAAAAGAAAGCACACCAAAACGTGATTCCAAGATGGCAGCCGTTGCGTGCGTGCGTGCGCGCCTGGAGCAACACCGGGGTTTCTGAGGAGCCTAACGCTCCTTGCGACGGGAACTCTAGCTGCCTACCTGACCCCTGTGCGAACCTGCAAGAGAGGCTGCCGGCCAGCAGCGCTCCAGGGAGCCTGCCCGCGCGATCTGGACTTGAGGTAAATTAAAAACGGAGCCAAATTAAAAAGAAAATAAAACTAACAACTCTAGCTAAAGGAAAACACTCAAAATAAAAGTTTTAAAAAGGAACTACACTGAACTAGCATAGGAATAAGGGTCCAGATTGCTGCACAAGGCCTGGAACCCTAAGGAAAACATCCTGTAGGGCAACTGAGTTTTTTGAAACTGAGCCACTGAGGCAAGCAAGAAGCTGCTTAGAGTGTCTAGGAGAATGTTTGAATCTGATAACGAGCACATACTCGGGTGCCAATCAAACACATCCGTGGTTCATTTCCTCTTTTGCACCATTTTTTTTGTAAGCAGCAAACAACAGCAACCTTGTGTGGCCGCTGCATTAAATTTGCATTCATTTTGGTTAGGTTCGACCAAAGTTATGGAACGAATTAAGGTCGTGACTACAGGTTCGACTGTATACAAATAATGCTTCTATATTATAAACTGTCCAGCGAGTGCTGTAAAGCAATATTGGGCAGTATATCAATCTAAATGCTATTGCTATTTTCCTTTTTCAAAACACAAAGCAGAATACACCGCACATTGTTCTCTGTTTATTTTATCTATTTCTGTCTCTAAACTGACAAACAACAGGAAAGTATAGCTTATTCTAAAAAATAATTGGTAGTTCCTGCATCGTATGGTTATCACTCTTTAGAGACAGCTGGTTACAAATAATTATGTATGCATGTCACCTGTAGGAATGATGGCTAACATAAAACTACAATTAGGAATGTAGATAAACCGTGACTCTCTATTTCAAAGAAATGCTGCAAAAAAAACCAACCTCGCCCAGGCAGCCTTCTTTCGCCATATATTTTCGGACATGATTCCAGATGCGACTCCTAGGCAGCAGGCTTCCTCCGGTGGACTGTTCAAAATTTTCATAGCTTCCATATTTTTGCAAAGTGAGTTCCATAATTCTGATAGCCTGTGACAAAAATGTAGCAGACATAAATGTTAAATATGCTAAATGTTCTAATTGGTGACTGTGTTTGCTCTTGGCTTTGGAATTATGTGTATGACAAAAGCAATTTGTCTGTGTAAAGGTTTCTTCTCTATGAACAGGACAGATGCTTTTAAGTTTCACATCAAGATTAAATATACGATCCCCTCGTATTTTCAATTCAGCACTGGTGTTGGGGGAATAGTGAAACTCAGTCCAGTTTAAGGAACCAAAAAGCAGTTTCATGCTAATAATTAGCTTATTGGCTCATAATATTACCCTGTCTTTCCAATGTCCCTCTCTAGTCATTTGTAGTGGTAACCAGGAGCCCTATTCCTTGGGTAGTTACAGTAGTGAAATGGAAAGTAAGGTACCTGACTATCTTCAAAATCTTTTTTCAAAAATTTCTATGCTGATTTGACAGCAACATGTGTGAACGCACACTTAACATTGTTCAGAAACCGTTCCAATAACTTCAACAATGGTTCTCCATTTTCCTTGCACCACCTATATGTAGTAAGGCAAATCTATTTATTTATATGTATCCATGCATAATTGATTGTTCCATTTGTTTCAAAAGAAGTGGGCAACTCCATTTCCCGCTGCCCTTAAAGGACGCAGTGGTAAGATCCCTCCTTAAGAAGCCTTCTCTGGATCCAGCTATTCTGAAAAATTACCGTTCAGTCTCCAACCTCCCTTTTGTAGGGAAGGTTGTTGAGAAGGTGGTGGCCTTTCAGCTCCGACAGTCCTTGGATGAAGCAGATTATCTNGGGGATTTTCTCTTTATCTAAGTATTTATCTATGTCTAAACCCCTAATTTTGTCCCCTTTGTACAGTTCTGTATAAAATTCCCGAAATACCTTTTGGATCTCCTCCTGTTGAAACGCCTCCTTCCCTCTATAACACAATTTAGATACATTTTGAGTTTTTCTTTTTTTCCTAATCTGATAAGCCAACCACCTACCGGGTTTAGCTCTTGAAGAGCTACTTGGACTGATCTAAGTACTGAACCTAATTCATGTATTCCTGTTTTTTGAACTGAGGAATAAATTTCAGAAAAAGAAATCTGTATTGCTCTATGAATCTACCTATGAAATTCATTCTTCTTGATCTAACTTTTTAGATGAAAAACTATATCTTTCCTGTTTGTTGGGGACATCCTTCCTGAAAAGACTGTACATTGTTGGATGAGAACAGAGATCCCTTCTGTTACCTGTAGTCCTCAACTTACAACCACAATCAAGTCCAAAGTACAATATTGTTTTATTTCTTTTGCAGTTAGTATTATTTAACCGGATGAAGAAGAGGCAACAGAGTATGACCACTTTCTTCACCAAAAAACCAAGAAAGGAGCAATCAGCTGATCCACAACAGTCACCAGCACCAACACGTAGACCAACACTGGCACCACCAGTGCCAGCACTACCAGCACAATCAGGTGGATAAGCACCACTACCAGCACCACAAGCACAATCACTTCCACCACTTGAAGTCAGAGAAAGCAGCAAGTCCATCTCCACTGAAAGTCTTCCAAACTGACTACTGGAATTTGCAGCAATATAGAAACTTCAAGAAGTATGGTGGACTGACAGTGTCCGACTAAAAGTTAGGTTGTGAGTATTGTGTGAAATACGGGTTCTCATTAGAGAAAGGCATTCATGTTTCCAAAGAATGGAGGCAGCAGGGGAAAATAAGGAGAATCAGCAAGCATCTCTCAGAAAAATATAAAAGAACATTTTAAATCAAAATCACACATTATTTGCAGAAAAAAGATGGGAGCAGGATGCTCTAACAAAATCCGTAAATAAGTTAACTGGAAAACATTTATCCATTACTAGCACAATATTTTTTACAGTTTACAATCTGGCACAAAGATGTAAACCTTCTCAGTCACTGAAGTGCAGATAGATTTGCTAACTGCAATTGGAGTAGATCTGGGAGTAGGCTTGCATTCACAGAGATCCGCCATGAAAATAGTTGAATTCATTGCAAACAAAATTAAAACCACTATGTTTACCAGAATTATTGCAAAGAATCTGAAAGTGTGTTTGATCATTGATGAAGACTCAATGAAAGCAGTTGTGATAGTTTTTGTTAAAGTTGAGCATTCAGAATGCCCAACAACCATTTTTGTTGAGCTGGTGGAATTGAAGAAACAAGATGCAGAAACTACATGTTCTGCAGTGATGGGAAGCTTACATAAAATTGGGTTTACCACAGAAAGCATTTAATAGCATTCTGCTCCAATTGTGCCAGAGTTATGCTTGGGAGAAAATCTGAAGTCAGCACCAGAAGGATTGTTTTTTTAAAGTTTTTATTTTTATTTTAATTGAACAAAAACACAAAAAAAGAGTCATCATTACATCTTGTAGAAAGCATGTCGATTGGTTACAAATAACTTTCCTGCATTTCTTCCAGTCATTACTTATAGTTCATATTAGATTATACANAGTGGTAATTCTAGTGGCAATCGGCACACTGGGTGCTATTCCAAAAGCACTGGAACTACATTTAAAACAGTTAAAAATTGACAAAATCACCATCAGTCAAATGCAAAAAGCCACACTGCTTGGATCCACATGCATATTACGAAAACATATTACGACGTCCTAGGCTGCTGGGTGGGGCCTGACTAGTAACCAATGCCAAATCCAGTGAAACAACTGGCCGCTGTGATACAATTGTGTTGTTGCAAATAATAATAATAATTGCTGAGATAAATTTAATACAGGTAGTCCTTGACTTACAACCGTTCATTTAGTGCCCTTAGAAGTTACAACAGCACTGAAAAAAGTGACTTATGGCTGTTTTCCATACTTAAGTTCATTTCAGCATTCCCATGTCACCTGATCAAAATTCAGATGCTAACTGAAATTTATTTATGATGGTTGAAGTTCTGGGGGTCCTGTGATTACATTTTGTAGCCTTCTGATTGACAAAGTTAATGAGAAAGTCAGATTCACTTAATAACTGTGTTACAACTAACTGTGATTCAACTAACAACCGTGACAGGAAAGGTCATAAAATGGTACAAAACATACTTAACTGTCTTGCTTAGCAACAAAAAGTTGAGGACTATCTGTATGGGTCTACTTAGTGGTATTCTAGTTCTCTTGTTCTTCTCCTGAATCATCCTTGTTAAAATTCAACATACCACAAATTCATAATATCTCAGCACAAGAATCAATGTTGCTTAGTAAAATATATTCATGATTATAACATATGACACAAGACATCTTTTTATTCTATAACAAAAGAATGGCTGAAATCATACACAGGTCACATGGCATTCTGCTCATGTAAATGCCATAACTTATTCAATATTAAAAACAAGCAATAATTAATCATATTATGCAAATATAATCAATTATTTAATTTCTTGATTTTAATTATTGAGTTGATTTATTATTGTAACCAGAAATTATAACACATATAAAGCATAATGTAAAAAAACATACCAAAAGATTAAATTATTACAACTCTGAACTTCTATCAAGAGTTTCAGCAGTGATATGACTACGAAATTGTATAAAAGAAACTAAAACTACCATTTAATCAAAGGCCTAGAAAATTTAATTGGTATTAGATTTTAGTTCTAATTTTAAAAATGTTGGAAGGGGCTTGATAATTAATACACATACACTGGAAAGAAAACAGAAGGGAAAATTATCTGACCTATACTCAAGAGTGTCATAGATGGAGTTCAGAAACAGGAGAATGAGAAAGGGCTGATACGAATGCAATGCCAAATCAGATTTTATGGTTTTCCATATTTGTTAGCATAAAGGTGTACTACTTCTGCTCTTTTTAAAAATATTTATCTGTATCTTATTATTTCCTATTTGATAGCAGAGGTGGGTTCCTACCAGGTTTGGCTGAATAGGTAGTAATAATTGGCCATAGCTTTCCGAACTGGTAGCAATAGCAGCCTGGCCACGCCCCCATACTAATATAGTCTCCTGGCCTGTACCCACTCACTCCCCCCATGTGCCCAGTCGCCCCCCCTCTCTCTCTCCCTCTCTCTCTCTCTCATCCTGCCCATCCACACCATGCTTGCCTACATGCCCTCCGCTCATTGACTTGATGGCTCGCCAATCGCCCCGCCTCTGAGAGCCCTGTATATACTGTGGTTATCACGCAGCCCACAACCTTTACTAGCCTGGCTCTTGCATTATCATTTGTTGACTTCCTGATCCTCGCTGACTTCCCAGCCTGCCTGCCCTGCTGCATTACTGCTGCCTCCTCCTGCGGCTTCCTAAAGGTAAGTAAGCCTATGGCTTACTTCATGGGATGTGGACAGTAGAGAGGGCAAAAAGCTACAGAGAGCACCGGCAGGCTTCGCCATCTATGCAAGCCCAGGGACTGGCTAAGCCTTCCTTGCTGCCACTCCCTGGGCTCACTTAGACCGCAAAGCTCACCAGTGTTTGGAGGGCGACTTTGCGGGATGCACTTGGGGAGGGGCGGCAAGAAGCTACTGAGAGCCCCAATGAGTTTCCCGGTCTAAGCGAGCTTGGGAAGAGACGGCAAGGAAGCTGAGGCCTGTCTTGCTGTCCCTGGCCTTTCTTGCTGTTCCTGGCTAAGCCACCTGGGCTCCATGCCAGGCGGGCCTAGCTGACTGGGTTGTCCCTGTGTGCCTCCAGTCCAGCTTACCTTCAGCCAGAGTGTCTTGCCTGGTCGCCAGCTGCCTACATCCATTCCGGCATCCATCACATCGGAAAGCAGCTGATTTTGCCTACTGGTAAGTGACTGTGTTTTTTTTCTTTATGTTTTTAATGTATTTCAAAGGATATTTTGTTGTTAATTTTTTTGCAGGAAATTTGGTTGTTTTTAGGATTTTTTATTTTTTTATTTTGAGGAAATGTTTTTTTAAAAATATTGTTTTTAGGAAATGTTTGTTTTATTTATTATTTTTAGGAAACATTTTTTTACAGAAATGTTATTGTTTGGAAGAAATGTTTTTTTAATTGTCTTTGGAAATTGTTTTTTTTTATTTTATTTTTAGGAAATGTTTTTTAAAAAATTATTGTTATTAGGAAATGTTTTTAACAGAAATTCTATTGTTTTGAGGATTTTTAAAATTGTTTTCAGGAAATGTTTTGTTAAACTAATTTTATTGTTTTTAGGAAACATTTTTTTAATTTATTGTTTTCAAGAAACATTTTGTTAACCTAATTTTATTGTTTTTAGGAAATGTTTTTTAAATTTATTATTTTTAGGATTTTTTAAACTTGTGATTGCCCTACTTTTGTTTTCCTGTTTTCCTGTTTTAATCTTGGTCCCAGGTCTTTTGTCTTTCTTATCCCGGGGATTAGTTTTGCCAGGAAACAGGAAAAGGAGAGTTCCAGATGAGCTATTTTTAGTCTGCTGATTCCCTTTGTCTTAATGGGTATACTTAGAATTTAAGTCTTTCTTTTAGCTGGTGTTTTTGCCTGGGGTTTTCTTAAAGGGGGAAAGCTGGCTTGAGTTTCTTGCCACTGTTTTCTGGGGTTTCTGGTTCTATGAGGTTTCTGGCACTGTCCTTTGTGCTAATATTTCCCACAATGCCATGATGGTTTTTATTCCAGTGACTTTGTCTTTCCTGTCCTTAGGGTTAGGGAAAAATTGGTTTCATCTGCAGTCTTTTTTGGGGGGGGGCTGTTATTCATTTGGTGTTTTCCTGCTGCTGTCATAGTTTGGGGGGGAGGGGTGCAATGTCTTGCAGTTATCTACACATTAATAATGATCAAATATTAATAATATTTGCTTATACATTTTAGTAACCTATCCTTACATAATTGGTATTTTCTTTCATACTTTTAGATTTCTAACTTCTGTTTCTGTTAGTTAGCCATTTATAAAACAGATCCCACATTAAAAAGTATCCGAAGTCGTCTTCTTGATTTTAATTGTCAATTTATTCATTCCTGCACATTCTAATATTTTCTTTATTCATTTTCATCTTTGTTTTTCCAGTGTTGTGCAAACAATTCTAGCAGCTGTTAACATGTGTAAAATTAAATATGTATTGAAATACCCAACAAAATATTTCTGGTTTTAAATCCATATCTTGCTTTACCATTGCTTCTAACCATGACACCACTAANGGACCTGGATATCTGCGGGACCGCCTCCTGCCACATAGCTCCCAACGACCTATAAGATCTCACAGGCTGGGCCTCCTTCGGATACCATCGACCGGGCAATGCCGGTTGGTGACTATTTGGGGGAGGTCTTTCTCTGTAGCTGCCCCGGCCCTGTGGAATGATCTACCCGCAGAGATCCGGATCCTTCCCACTCTCTTGGTCTTCCGTAAAGCCACTAAAACCTGGCTGTTCTGGCAGGCCTGGGGCTGTTGACCCCAAATGAGGCCCAGCCCCACTTAGAACGGAGTGCATGGTGTGTTTTAAATCTATGTTTTTTAAATCTATTTTTTTTCCCTTCCTTTCTTTTGATTTAAGTTGTATTGTTAGCCGCCCGGAGTCCTATGGGATTGGGCGGCATACAAATGTTATTAAACCTTAAACCTTAAACCACTGTAAAGAGACATGAAGAACAGCCTTCTTTCTAAAGGAATGCATCTGCCTTTGTGGCATGACAAATGACATACTGTATATCAAAATATTGTATTGTATTGTATTGTATTTGTATTATTTGTATTTTATTCTATTGTATTGTATATAATAGGTGACATGATAGCAGTATTCCAATATTTGAGGTGCTGCCACAAAGAAGAGGGAGTCAAATTATTCTCCTAATCACCAGAGGGCAGGAAAACTAACAATGGTTGGAAACTAATCAGAGAGAAACAACCTGGAATTAAGGAGAAACTGCCTAGCAGTGAGGACAACTAAATAGTGGAACAGTTTGCCTTCAGAAATTGTGGGTGCTTCATCACTGGAGGTTTTTAAGAAGAGATTGGACAGCCACCCTGGTATAAGATCTCCAGCCAGAACAGGGAGCTGGACTAGAAGGCCTTCAGGCCAGGGATGGGTTCTGGCTTCTGCTACTGCTGGTTCGCTCAGGGATGCACTTGATGCATGCTATGCGTGCATGCGCAGCAGTAAAAATGTGTCTGTGCATGTGCAGAAGCAAAAAACAACATGGAGGCACCGATAGAACCAGTTCGGGGATGTGGCAGGCTGAGTTACTACCTACTCAGCTAAACTGGCGTGAACCGGTAGGAACCCATCTCTGCTTCCAGCTCTATTTTATTATAATATTGCATGACTGTGAGGAATTCCTCTCACATCTACAAATGTTGAGATGTAAGCTCATAGAATGTTTGATGCTAAAAGGAAAATATGTTTTCTGATATGAAGGGCCATTGTATTTTGTAACAAGTGGCATAAATAATTCAGAATGGTATTCTGCAGTTTCCAAAACAAACTCCTAGTATACTGATAGCCATTTATAATACTCATTGCTTATTGCACATAAATATATGATTTATATCAGATCCCTATTGTGATACTATCATTTCGGGGGGTGGGGGCGGGATCATTTATTCACTTATTACTCTCTTCCTGCTTCCACATATCCTGGAATCCCTTAAATTATAACTCTAGCTGTGACACTTATCTGCCCTGTGCTTTGATTTACCTTTGGGGAATGTATAAAGAGAGGCGGGGAGGTCCATCTGTTTTGTCTCAGTTCTGAAGCCTCCTGAAAGAAGCACCTGGGAACAGTCCTGTCAGTCTCTGTTTTGCTGCTTGCTTTTCGGCTGCCATTGAAACAGGGAGGGGGGGCATGGTATTTGGATGTGGGAAATATTCTGTACAGGAGAGACTGTAAGAAGGGAGTTGTTCTCACCATCTACTGAGCATGTGGCGGGGAGAGAAGTTTCCAGCTAAGGCCAACTGTCCGGCATACCAACCTGATGATGGTTTTTGAAGATGTCTCCCACATGACACCTGTGGAGTAATTGGATGGGACTATGGATTGGGGTTACCAAGGGGAGAGGAATGGGTCATACATTGATATCTATACTTGTACATGCTTTTATCTCAGATCCAGCTTTGCTTAGCTTCTATTTACTTACAACCAGTAAAAGTACTCTTAATTCTGCAAAATGGAGTTGAGTGGTTTCTTTCTTGGTTATTAAGTGAAGCAGCCCTGACATTAAGCTGGATCTCATCTCGCACCCATCCCGGAGTTGATACCTTCCGAGGGGGGTGCACCCAAAACCTAAAAGATGTCCCACCAGGGCAGCGATCAAGAAGATGATATGGGAGCAGCTGCATCCTCCTGCCCTTTAGAGACGGAGCAAATGGCTGGCCTGCATTTGGAAGAACTGCAAAATGGAGTTGAGTGGTTTCTTTCTTGGTTATTAAGTGATGCAGCCCTAACAAGTCCCTTATCTCCTTCTCAGGATGACTGTCTTCACAACATCTTCATACCTGTGGATTGGCTCATTCAACATCGGACTTTTGAAATGCTGCTATCTCAAAAGTCCATACTTTCTTTAATGGGGAGTAGAGGCAGGATCTTACAATTTCTATTGAACAATCATTTTATTTAAGCAGATTGTTCCCTTTAATATTTTATCTTTTGATCTAATTGTTCACTGTGCTTTGATTTTTTTCAGAGAGAACAAAGAACAAGAAGATACTATGAGATAAAAAAACAACTAAAGATATAGTTTCCCAAAAAAATAGCATCAGTTATCTTTGGTTTCTAATGAAGTTAAGTTGTAACAAGCACTAATGATGTTATCTAGTTTGGGTAATGAAATGTCCTCAAAAGAAAGAATATTTATTTAAACCTGTCCTATTCCAATGTATGAATTTACATGTATAGGAATAGAAGGCTTGATTATAAAGTAAAAGTGGTATATGTGTAGGAGGCACTGAACTTTTTCATTTTGACATACTACTGAACTCTTAAGTTTGCCTTTCTAGATTTGAACTATTATTCTTTCAAAATCCAAGAGGTGAAAAGTGTTGAAAGCTATGTAATCTATTCAGTGCATTAAATCTAGACCTAAATCATCCTCAACAGGTGTTGTTTTAGCTCTGCTTGTAAAAACACAAAAAAGTAGTTTTTTTATTTTACAATGGATTAAAAATAGATAAACTTTGTCCTAATATGCAAAAAATCAAGATGGTGACCATGATGGTGTGATTATATAATGCATGTGTGCACTGCACTGCTGACTGCAACTCACTCCTTTACCTGTGTGAGAGAAATCCTCCCTTCTCCCATGGAAGCCTAAGCAAAAGGTATGGATATCTGCAAGATTACATGGAACATCTTGTCATAAATTATGTAATCATCCATTTGCTTGATGATCATGTGTTATTGCTTTGATGTCACCGCTGCTTGTTTCAGAGGCCATTATCAATAGAGGCCCTGCTTCAGACTTTCACTTCTCAAAATGGAAATGAAAGCTGCACAAATGCTCTGTCTCCTTTCATCCTGCTTTTCAAAAGCTCTTTCCTAATCACACTATCCCCTTTCTAGGCCAAAAGATCTAAGGAAAAAAATAATAGGAGAAAGAAGAAAAACTGACTCAAAAAGAATTATGCATGAGAAATAGGTATAGCAAAATATCTTTACCTGTTTAAGAAATAAGCTGGATGCTTGGCTGTACTTTTCAAGTACACTGGGCAGGACAGAACTTGCATATTCAAACTGTGGGTTAGAGGTAAAATCTGATTTGAAGAACTTTAGCTTCTCTCTTTCCACATTGGAAGGCTTGATTGCAGTGAGGATACAAAACTTTCGACCAGTGGCATCTCCATCTTTTAAGCAGCTTTTAGATGTTTGCAAATGTTTGGACTTTCCTAGGCTAAAGGTAAAATGTTTTTTAGATTTGTTCTTTGGTGGAGTTGACAATCCTATGCTGTTCCCAGTTACTGAAATACTTTGTGCTAATTTAATCCCATTGCGGAGTGAGTTGGGAATAAAATAGGAGGAGTGCCTTTTGAAACAGCACCACCCATTTGGGGGAATGAACAGTGGTGTCTTAACCTTGTGGCGTTCATTACTGTGTGAGCTATGAATGGGTTTGGTGGGCTTCCGGAGTCTTTTGTGGTGGGTTGATGAATGTTTCTGATGTTTTTTTTCCTCTTTGCTCTGCAGCAAAACATTGTAGCTGCTTGTCCCTGTGGTGAAGTTGTCCTTAAGGATGCAGGACTTAACACTTCTGGTGTCATTCATGCAAAGAAATTTCTGCTCTGCAGGCTTCAAGATGGACTTCTTGGACAGTTCTTGCTCTGGCCAGTGAAGCTTTTCTGAATTAAAAAAAATTAAAAAGGCTAATTCAATTAAAAAGGTTTTTCTAGATTTTAATATGCAATGTGAATTCAAACATATAAATATATAAAAGAGGTTTAATTGCTAAAATATAGACCTCTAAAAAATTTGAATTGTGGCATTTCCACACACAATTATCAACATTAGGGCAGCAAAAAAAGCATATGGGCTGACTTTGCTCTTTCTAAAATGTTCCTATCTTTTAAAAGTATAGATATGGAAACATTTTGGATTTTCCTCTATGTTAACATGTTGAATTTATCCTAAACATTCCTGTTTAAGTGCATGAACTGTAAAACAGGAAAACTGCTCTGCCTTCTGCACTAAACAATTATTTAAAACACTCTTTTGCTCCATATTTAAAAAACTAACACGGAAAATAAAGACAACTAGGGGGAGATGGAACATTAAAATCAAATGTGTGCTATGTCTTTATGTCACATGAACATATGAAAGTTACATATTGTAATGGAATGATGCTCATTTTACCATTTTGACAAAACAGTCAGATTCTGCAGATTCTTCAAGCATACAATTTCTCAATCTCAGCCATTTTAAGATTCTAGAAATTCCAATCCATGCATCTTAAAAGTAGTTGAGCTTGAGAAACACTGCTCTACCAGAAAACATGCTATTGACCAGATAAAACTTTCCCAGCCTGGATGCCCTCCATACACCTCCCATTCGTCCAAAATTCCTCAACTAGAATGGCCATTAAATCTCCTTTAAATTTATACCAATTTTTCCTGATGTTTGAATGTAAAAGAAAACATGCTGATACAAAACTACTTCTAGAGCAGACTTTCAATTCTAAAAGCCCTTTTTTTCCCCACTGCACTGCAAATTCAACGCCTGTAATAGAGTGATGGAGAGAAGAGAGAGAATATATCAGAAAAATTACTTGGAGGAAAGTATACATTAAGTCACTATTTTATTCAGCTTTAGAATGTTATAGACTTAATGCTTTTCCACAGGAAAAGCAAAAAAGGAGTAGGAGTGGGAATACAAATGCAATATCAAAACATATATGAGTACGTTCTACCTACTTTTGTCATTTGAAGGAAAATAAATCGAACCGACTCTTCCTTTTATATTTCCTTCTCAAGGACAAGCATGTTACAATTGACTACATTTGAACATAATCAGAGCAAGTATTGCATTAACATACTAATGATCATACCTTGTAATAACATTATTAACTCAAGTTCCTATCTATTTATCAAACGCAAAGTGCCTGNCTACTTTTCACTTTATAATATTTATCTCTGGCTTATAGGAAACAAAGTTCTTTAGATTTCTTTTAATAACAAGTAATAGGAAGAATTGTTATAATTGTTAAAATAAGAAGGAAGGTTTTAATCCAGAAGTCAAGGAATAAAGCAACAAAAAAGCAGAAGAAGAAAAAATCAATCCGTTCACTTTAAGGGGAGAAATAAGAAATGTTGCGAGCACCTCAATCCACAAAGAATAGTTACAAAGAAAAAAAAACTTTCCAAATCAATCCAATTAGGGTTAATTTCACCACTCAATTCTTTTGCTTAAGGATGTAATTTGGCTTTTAAATATTTTTTCTTTTGGCAGTCTTTTGCAAAATATAAAAAATACCTCACCAGATAGACTCACTTTCTCTTTTTACTTCCTTCCTTCTGGAGCTGTCCTGACTACATCAGCCAGCACCAGAAGGATTGTTGTCTTATCTGAATGGTAGTTTTCTGTTCCAAGCATGGGTTCAACTTCAGTTTGTCTGCCTGGTGACTGAGTTAATTTTAGAGTCCTTTTAGCCCTGCCTCCCCGCTTGACCTTCAGTTTATCAACGAAGACGTGGATCATAAGAAGATTTTTATGACCAGTTGTGTGGTCATCTTCATGCCACCTGGAAACGGATCATATCCAGATGGCATGATATGGGTCCGTATCCATGATTCGGGTGTGGTTGGATTCTCTTGAAGGGCACAGAGAGCTACCGTTCAGGTAAGACAACAGTCCTTCTCCTGTGCACTGCTTGGAGAATCCAAGCATGGGATATACCTTAATGTCCTAAGGGCGAGAAGATGGATTGTCCAGGGCCCTGTCAGCTTCATGGATTGCTTTTAGAACCTCCGCCCAAATGACACCTCAGCCGAGGCAAATGAATCAAATTTATAATTTTGGATGAACGGTGATGGGGAGGCCCACCTGGCTGCCCTACATATTTCCTTCACTGAAGCTTGTGTAGCCCAGGTTGCCATGGTAGCTGTGCTGTGAGTGGAGTGAGCAATAATATAACCTGGTGATTGTTTGGATTGGTGTTCGTAGGAGAGTGCAATGGAGTCTCTTAAACATATACCGATAACAATTGATGACAGCTTCCTACCCATGGAGGGGTGCTGAAAGGATACAAATAAAGATTCAGTTCATCGAAAGGACACTGTTCTCTTGATGTAACATTGAATTGCCCTTCTGACGTCCACCGTTTTTCAGTGGAATGAGTGGCATTGGGGCAAAAGTCAGGTAAAGTGACTTCCTGAGACCTGTGAAAATGAGAATTATTTTAGGAATGAATGATGGGTACAATCTGAAGATAACCCTATCAGGCCGAATGATGCACAGGTTCTCGAGGACCGACAGAAATGCCAGCTCTGAAATTCACCTTGCAGAGGTTACCGCCATGAGCAAGGCGATTTTCAGTGTCAGATGACGGAGGCTAGAAGTCTTTAATGGTTTGGAAGGTGAGTTGATGAGAACCAGGGTGAGATCCCATGTGGGATCACAGGTGGTCGCAGATTCGCTGCACTTGTGGAAAGTGGACATCTGCGGATATCTAGAGAGGGTGTGATTGGAACCTGATCATATAATAGTTGCTAAGATGGCAACCTGTCTTCAAAGGGTGTTTGGGGCAAGCCCCTTGTCAAATCCATGTTGGAGGAAATTTTGCACCTGGGGAATGGAGGCCAAAGTGGGCTCGATGGAAGAGGTGGAGTACCACCTGCAGAAGACGTCCCAGGTTGTGTCATAAATACAATTTGTAGAGTCACATCTGGACGCTATATGGTCCGGATGACCCACCCAGAGATTTTCCATTTTCTCAGGAGACCCCTCTCAAGTGTCAGATGGTTAGCTGGAGCCAGAGGATCTGGGTGGTTCAGCACCCCCTGGATGAGAAAGACTCTGTCCTGGGGTATCCTCCATAGGCGGGGGACCCACAGATTGATGAGGTCCACGAACCACGGACGGCGGGGCGAATATGGAGCGACCAATAGCACGTCTGCCTTTTTGGTGAGGATCTTCCTGACCACTCTTGGGATAAGGGCGAGTGGGGGAAATGTGTACAGGAGACCCGGTAGCCATGAGCTGTTCCTTCTGCTCCCTGCGTTGGGAGAAAAACCTTGGCAGGTGTGTATTATCCAGTCGGGCAAACAAGTCTACACATGGTTGGCCAAATATGTCAATGAGCTGGTGAAAGAGGTCTGGATGAAGCCTCAAGTGGTTGATGGTGGACTTGCTAAACCAGTCCACCTGAGTGTTGCATGTCCCTGAGATGTGCTCGGCTCAGATGGATAGGAGGTGGCTCTCTGCCCACAGACACTGTTTTTCCGCCTTCCGCATCAGGGCCTTGGAATGTGTGCCCACTTGGCAATTGATATGGGTCTTGGTGGCCACATTGTCCATGAGCAGGAGGATGTGTTGGCTGGTGACTCGATCCTTGAATCATTGTAGGGCTAGATATGTGGCCCTCAGCTCCATCCAGTTGATGCTGTTCTCCAGATCTTCCTGTGACCAGCACCCTTGGGACAGATGTGACTGAAGATATGCCCCCCAAACAAACAGGGTGGTGTATGATGTTACCATCACTCAATGTGGTTCCTTGAAGAGGGAACCCTTCCTGGAGATAGCCACCAAAGGAGGAGGGATGTGCACCTTGATGTTGGAGTTGCTTCTTTTGGCTCTTTGGTGCGGGAATAGAAGCCACTGTAGTGGTCAGGCATACAACCTTGCCCAGGAAACAACCAACAAGCAAGAAATCATTTTCCCCAGCAGACAGGAAAGCTGTATCAGCAGTATCTGGCATTTTGATTGAATGGAGGAGACCATCTGTCGTAGACTGGAGTGGCAGTCCGGAGAAAGGGACACCCTGCAGGTCAAGGTGTCGATCACAGGACCTAGGTACAAGAGTCTTTTGGTGGGCTGGAGATGACTCTTTTCCATATTCATGGAGAAGCCATGGTTCTGCAGGACAAGCATCGTGGTACGCACAACCCGGTGAGCTTGTCTGACGGACGAGGACTGAATAAGGATGTCATCCATGTAACATTGTACCCTCACCGGTCAGGAACGCAGATGTGCTGCTACTGCTGCTAACAGCTTTGTGAAGGTCCTTGGGGCCGATGACAGGCCAAAAGGCATAGCACAATACTGGAAGTGGCACCCCGCATTGTGGAAGCACAGGAACTTTTGATGTGATGGTCTGATGGGCATGTGCAGGTAAGCCTCCCTGAGATCTATTGAGGTAAGCAGATCCTCAATGTTGGACCCTCCCCAATGCTGCCCAAGTTGGAATTTAGGGACTGCATTTCGAAGCATTTGTATGCTACATGGGAGTTGAGTCTTTTGAGATCTAAAATAGCTCTGCAATCCCCCCCCCCAAGTTCTTGGGTACTAGGAAAAGGATGGAGTAGAAGCCTAGACCCTCCTGACCTGATGGAACTGGTTCTATTGCCTTGATGTCTAGAAGGTGGCGAATCTTGGTTTCCTTCAACTCCCTCTTGGAGGGGTTCCTGGGAGTGGGGCAACTCAGGAAGTGGTGGGGCAGTGGGGAGAGAAATTCTATGGTGAGGCTCAGCCCCACTTTCTGGAGGACCCAGGCATCGGTGGTTGTCTCCTTCCACTGGGGTAGGAAGGCTTGTAGTTGGCCACCAATCAGCATGTTGAGGCAAGTCACTATGCTCTTTGGAAGGGCTTGGCATTAGCCTGCCAGAAAGGTTGTTTGCCGTAGGGCTGT